CAACCTTCCGACACACAAATCACATAAAACCAAACACACGACCCCTGTGCCCCAGAGCGACCTTCTGACACACAAATCACATAAAAAAAAACAACAGAGGAAAAGAAGGAAGACAGAGGAAGGTCATCTGGACCGATGGAAGCATCCAGAGCCTGACGTGCTCATTCCACTTGTATTCATTTGGAGATATTAGGTTAAAATGAAGTTAGTTCATCAGTAAATCTGTGTTAATTAAGTGCTGTCTATCGTGGTAGCTTTTACTATGTCACGGCTGGGTTCATTAGCTTCCCCAGGACTGAAAATAACATGAGCACAGAGAAGGAAGTGCCTGACATGCACACCGGGCTTCATCGTGGTCTTCAGACCTGACTCCTCTGACACACATGCAGAAAGAGAAACTGAATCATATCAAAAGAAATTCTTGAGTTTTTTAATCTTGAGAAAATGCATGCTGGGAAGTTTATTTAAATAAGCTAACCATATCGCTAAATACTTTAATTGATGAATTAACTAAACAATCCATTGAACATTTAGTCAACTGAACTAGGCGTTTAATAGACAAGATTTAATAGAAGTTTATGTAATACAAGTAATTATGATAAAATCAAGTCAACAGTGAAACAAGCCACTTCACAGATTAAGACTCAAATTCACCAGGACTTACTGTTGTTGAAGTAAAACACAGAATTTGTTGGCACAATTAGATTTTTTTAAAGTTATTAACTCCTACTTATACCCAACATAACAGGTGTTTATGCCAAACAATAAACTGCGGTTTTAACAGTGCACGCTGGCTGACTGGACGCTGCTCTTCAGTCTCTTATATCACCATATCCACAAGCTTTAAGTTCTTCAGACTCAGCAGTGTATCAGTGTGGCCTTTTAGGCTCCTATGCAGAAATTCCACCGATAAAAACGCGCTCGCCTCAATGAAATCCAAGCAACAAGAAAACCCTAGCATGTAACTCGTCATTAAACCGTCAGTGATTACATAATAAAAGTGATGATGTGGATGGCAATCAAGCCCTTTAATAAAACCTAGAGAACAGACGATGTAAAATAATGACATCAGTCAAGAAAACATTGCAGAGCTTTTACTGGACGCTGCGACCACAAACCACTGATGAAGTCAGTGGGAATTCTGTGGAGAATACAGTGACGGACAGACGGACCGACGGCCAGAGACTGACGGACACCAGTGGTTTAGTTACAAGAAACAGACAAAGCAAATAGTTTTACGATGCAAAAAGCCAAGATATCAGCATGCGCTGTGGAATCTTCTGAATCCCCATGTGTCTCCTCATCAGCCCACTAACTAAATATTTTGCCTCAAGCTGTGCGGCTGAAGTTTCTCTCCTGTTTCTGATGTTTGCTGCTGTTTTCACTGACTCTGCACCGACAGCTCGTCCAGTCTCAGATCTGCCCGAAAGAAAACTCCAGCAAAGCCCCGGAGGACCGGGCCGGAGCCGTGACTTCAGGATGGTTCTCGTGTTTTTGGACATTCTTTTCAATCAAGACGGCCTCAAGGTTCAGCCCAGGAGGTCACTGGTTTGAATCCTCAAGAAAATCCAGGCTGGGAGGGAATGAGAAATTTGCTTCCTTTCCCTCAACAAGTTTTATTGTGATGTTACTCGGTTACTGGGGTTCTGGTACTTTCCTCTACAGTTAAGACAGAAACAACGTCCTTTTATTTTTTATTTTTTCTACCTAAAACTATGTCTAGATGCCTTCTTCTAAGTTTCTTCAACATACTACGACCTGGATGACTGGGGTGCTGGTTAAAATTCAGATTTCACATTCAGCGTCAGGTAAAATAATAGTTAGACTAACAGACAGAATTATCTTTTGTCCAGTTCATGTTGATTGAGGCTGTGAGAAGAACAAATAATACTGATGATAAAACGAGGTCTGGTTCTTTACGGCAGGACAGAAGCTCCAGGTCAGACAGCTGTGACCTGGCCACTTTTCTAAAATTACAACCTGTCACACAGCTCTCCTCCAGCCCACCGTTTTTAGTTCACGTAGGGACGCTGTAGCAGCATTTTGGTTGCAATCAATCTCCAACAGTCCTCTGGATTAAACGCCACATGTTGCTTGTCCAGCGACACATAGAGGTGTTTTTGACTGACGCCTCTATCTGAACTTTTTCTTATGGTTAGATTTAGGCACAAGTACAGTTTAGTCACGGCGTAAGGGAAACACCTTGGTTTGGGTTAAAATACCTATTTCATTATAGTTATTGTAGCAATAATAAACACATGGATAAGTTTAGGGAACAATCATGGTCATGGTTAAAGGAAACCAACATTATCAGGTGCAGACAGGGAACCATCACAGATGTTTTGTCCTCTGTGGACAAAATGCCTCCAGCTGGCTTCCTCCTTCGTTCTTATTTATTCACAATCACTACCAAAAGCCGAGAGGCTGCGCCACACAAACAGATGCTGTGCTAAAGGACAACTGGTGTGCCCTTTTTCCTTGGAGAAGAGTCACAATTCAGAAGCTGTTTTAAAACTTGACCATACGAAATATAATATTAAATGTCTAAAACAGGTTTCATGTGATACGCTTGAAGATTCTTTTAACTAAAGTCAAGAGTTTCAAAACCTCAGCTTTTACACAAATAAGGGAAAGGTTTAGGGTTAAGTGAAATAAATTGAGCATGTTAGAAACCTTTATGTTTATAGAACTGAGTTCTTTTCTCTTGTCCTACATCGGGTCTGTGAGAAGAACAAATAATACTGATGATAAAACGAGGTCTGGTTCTTTACGGCAGGACAGAAGCTCCAGGTCAGACAGCTGAAGAATTCCTCCTCCACCACAGAAACGGAGCTCTGCCTCAGATGAGATCAATTTGTCGAGCTGTGAAATACTGCAGTGCCAGAAAATCCTCCGCTGCTCCACCCAAACGTAACGGCAAGTGTCTTAATTAAAACTGGCCCTTCCTGAACACCATAGACAACATGACACCAGCCTCCTGATTGGCCACAGGACACACATCTCTTCCTGTTTTGGGGGGGCATCAATAACTAAGTTTAACAACCAGTGAGTTTTAATGGGATCTGTGTGTGAAGCTTCTTTATCAATAGGTCTAATGACTGAGTTTAGCCCGGCAGCCGATATTCTGCCGACAGTTAAAGCCGAGTTATCAGATCCGCTTTTCTCCAGGGCCAGGGGCTTCTGTGACTGGTTTGAGACCCCACAGAGGGTCTGGGCTTGTCTCTGCTGGGTCCCAGTAAACCAACAGCACAGAGAGGTTTTCACCAGACTCAGTCAATTCGGGTCCTGAGCTGTAAAACACTGTAATGTGGGCGACAGAAAACAAGTGCAAAGAAAGGAAACATCTTCCTCCTGCTGTCATTTCACTATGAGCACACACAACCTCACCATCATCTCATAGCGAGGTCCAGTCTTAGTTATATTTCTACATCATTCCCCACAAAGATTTTATTGTTTATCACATAAACTGTGGAAAACAAAACTAGGTTTACAACCAGAAATGGTCGGTTTCCTGGGATTAACTCCAGTAACTGTAAAGGAACAGAAACATTTGAATTACTAAATTAAATCTGATTATGTAGACAAAATCGTTGCAGACTTTAATGGTCACTCATGCAGCAAATCCAAACAGGATGAGCCACACATTTCTAGAATAAATATTTGTAAGGAGACAGACTTAAGTGAGATTTTAAAAGAAAATTTTAGTATTTGAAAAAACAAGTACTTCTACATCATAATAAAAGAAAGTGAAATCATAATTTTAAGACTGAAACAATAAACATATAAAATATATAAATATTACAAAAATAGAAGGGGGTTGAAACTCACTTAAAGCACAATGTCCTCTGTTAAAGACACAATGAAATAAAACTATACAACTAATACTCCTGTGTGTTAACTCTTTACATCCATCACATTATGACAAAAACAGATCCTTTTCAGTATTTATCAAATGTTCCTCTTCATTTATAAATACAGTAATACGTTTGACAGCTTGTCCGTGATCTAATCAATAAAAAAATGATTTGGGGCGTCACATAAAGCTGCAGCCGACTCGTGGATCTCACAAACTACATTTCCAGGTCCAGTTCTTTCATTTCTCTGTCGTTGTCCTGATCTAACAGCACAGATGGGGTAGGCCTGGGGGGTGGGGGTGGTGTGTGTGTTGGTTGTTGGGGGGGAGGTCCACTACACCTCTGACTGCTCACTCTCTCTCGCCCACGTTTGAACTGTCCCAGGGCGATCTGATCTGAATCCTCACATTACAAAAGCTGCTTCACTGTGACTTTGCCAGATGAAAGTGATTGACAGGTGTGAGAACCAATCAGAACTCATTAAAGTCCTGCTGCCAGTGAATGCCTCAGTTTGAAGCACAAACAATGACATGATGCTGGACTTGGCCTATGATGTCTTTTATGTCCCACCCACCCCCGACC